TCTGCTATTTCTACTTGATAATTAAAACTTGTTAATGAAATTTGCAATGAAGATATTTTGATCAACAATATTGTCTTCTAAACTTCATACTTTCACTACTCTAATAATATCTTCTATTTTTTGATACTTCTATCGTAAAATCTACTATTTCTACTTGATTATTCAAACTTGTTAATGACATTTGCTATGAAGATATTGTCTTCTGAACTTTGAACTTTCACCACCCAATTAATATCTTCTATTTTTTGATTCTTATTCTATAGTAACACACACACACACATACACACATATCTGCTATTTCTACTTGATAATTCGAATTTGTTAATGAAATTTGCTATGAAGATACTCTGATCAACATTGTTGTCTTCTGTACTTTATACTTTCACTACCTTATTAAAATCATCTATTGTTTCTTCCTCTTCTATCGTAACATTCTACTTTGTCAGAAATGAAAACAATCAGGTAAAAATATAAGAACTGTAAATGATTATTGTGTTCTTGTTTCAAAGCAGGAAGTTAAACGTTATCAATCCCCACGTATAATGTAATTCATTATCTTTTAAAACACGCTTACTTTCTTCTTGACGCTTACAACAACGTTTTAGCATTATCTTCATTTCATCGAACAAAGTTACAATTTCAGTCGAGTTAAAAGATTGAGTAGCATAAAAAGAGAAGACAAGAAAGAAAAAAAAAAACAAAAAAGAAAAGGGGAGAAACAGCAGACAAGTTGAAAACGCGTGAATTAATTTTATTAGCGTTAAGTACGTAATAAAAAATATAATCTAAATAAATGTGTATCACTCGCATATAAATTTTTTCTTTTCATTTTTACAATAGAAAATAATCATGTCGTTTGTTGAACGTTGTCCACGCAATAAAAGGCACAAATCCAGAAAACAAGAACACCGTTATGACTTCCTTTAAAAAGAAACAAACCGAAACAAACAAACAAAAAAACAAACTAAATAAATGAAAAAGAAAAAGAGACAAAATTATACGAAATATTTGATGGTAGAATCGGGACTATCTTAACTGAAATCGATCGAACTAAACGGGAAAAAAAAAAGAAAGAAAGAAAGAGAAATAAAATTCAACCATCAGGAGAGAAGGTCTTGCATTATGTTGGAAAAAAAGGTGCACGCTGGTTCACGACCTTCGATTTCTCGAGAGAAGTATAAAAGAAAAATAAGAAGAGGAAAGAGAAAGAGATTGTGATGATGGTGGTGGTGATGGTGGTGATGGGAATGAGAAGGAGAAGTAAAGAAGAAAAAGAAGATGAAGAGGAAGATGAAGAAGAAGAAGAAGAAGAACTACGAGGAAGAGAACTTACAAGGAAGAAGAAGCAAAAGAATAAAAAAAAAAAGAAAAACAAGAAGAAGAAGAAGAAGAAGAAAGGAACGAAGTTAACGAAGTAGACTTGCAAAAGGGTTACCGCTCCCGACCCATAACGCAGCAATACTTTAACTAAACCGAAAACTTTAATACCTTACCGCGAATTCGTTATTTGAATTATAAAAGAACGTTTCGTGTTATTTCGTGATATTTCGTTTGTGCAATTTAGTTCGAAGAAACTTCGAAACCCCCTCTACTCCTTTTTTTCCTTTCTTTTTCTTTTTCGTTGCCCTACTCAACTTCACCATCTTCTTCCCCCATTCACCTAACATCAATGTATCTCTTTCTCGGTTTTCTTTTTTTTTTCCCCCCATTCCTAATTTGAATTATAAAAGAACGTTTCGTATTCTTTCGTGATATTTCGTTTGTGCAACTTCGTTCGAAGAGACTTCAAAACCCTCCCTCTCTCTCTCTCTCTCTCTCTCTCTCTCTCTCTCTCTCTCTCTCTCTCTCTCTCTCTCTCTTCTTTTTCTTCTTTTCGTTGCCCCACTCAACTTCATCATTTTCTTCCACCATTCACATAAACCTCAATGTATCTTTTTTTGGGTTCCTTTTTTCCATTATCTTCTTCTTCTTCGTTTTCTTATCGCATGTGTGTGTGTGTGTGTGTGTGTATATGTGTGTGTGTGTATGTTTTTTTTTTTCATCATCTTCTGCATCAATTCATAATCACGATCGGGTTGAGAAGAAAAGAAAAAAGAAAAGAAAAGAAAAGAAAAAAATAATAATAAGAAGAAGAAGAAGAAGAAGAAGCTTTTATCACCGTTCCATTTGTGTCTCGATGACGTCCGATCGTGGCGCCATTAACGAGGCAGATCGGCAGAAATCTCAATCTCTCTTTCTCTTTTTCTTTCTTCGGCCTCACCTTTTTATCTTTTCGTATTCGATTTTTCTTACCGAGGGTTTCTTTTTTTTTCTTTTCTCTCCCCCACCCCACCCCCTGTTTTCTCTTTCTCTCTCTCTTTATAAAAGGATTCGTCGCGCGAAGATAGTCTGTAATTTCCAAGAGGGTAAATTAATGAAGTTTGTGTCCGAGAAACTTTTGGACCGCCCTCGTTGGCCCCCAAGCAACATTGTTAACGAAATTGTATGGTGATTCATGCCGGGTCAATTTTTTACCTGTCGCGGAAATGAATAACTTTCAAGCGAAGAAGTAACCGCCGTTCCTCCTTTTTTTTTTTCTTCTTCTTCTTTCCCCCCCCCYCCCCCCMCCMCCTTTTCTTTTTCTTATTTTTTTTTTTCATTTTTTCTTTTCTCTCTCTCTCTCTCTCTCTCTCTCTCTCTCTCTCTCAATTCGCTTCTTCCTTTCTACTTTGAAAAGAGGTCAACATAAACTCTCCAATGCAATATCAAAAGGAAAGAAGATATTAAGGGTAGCCTTATAGTAACCATAAAGTTGTACAGCAACTTTTGATTGAGAGATGAGCAATCTTCGATCATTCGGTTATCGTTTATCTTCTTCTTTCTTTCTTTCTTTTTTTTCTTTTTTTAATATTACTTCTTCTTCCGCTTATGTTTCTTGCAACTAAATTGTAAAGAACGATTTCGTTTAACGGATTCTTTGTATTTTTTTTTTTTTTTTAAGTAAATAGCACATTCCATCGAACAAATATATCCATTAAATTTTATATTGAAATTGAAGTGTTAAGGTTATATCGAAAATGTTTAACGAAATGAAACGAACAAAACTAAAAAAGATTATACCAGAATGAAGTATATATATATATATATATGTAGAGAGAGAGAGAGAGAGAGAGAGAGAGAGAGAGAGAGAGAGAGAGAGAAAAAGAAGAGAAACATTTTATCTTTTTTTAAAGAATGACGAAGCAATCGAGCCCCAACAACTTCCATACGTTAACCTTGCTACTTTGAAGTATGTCTCTGCAGAAGAAGCTAACACGTTTTCCAATTCCAACAGCGACCAACCATAAACTTTGCGAAGTTCATTCCTGGCATTGCCACACATACAATCTCACCTAGGGATCTTCATAATTCAACGTGCTAAGAAATGAAGTCCGATTTTGACGCATGCTCGTGATAGATTGAGTTAAAGTGCATACATGCAAAATATATATATATATATGTATATATGTAAATTTAATTTAACGATTATGCTTATGCACGCATACACATACATATATATATATATATATATATATATATTTATATATTATGTTGCTTTGCAATATTGGAAGAACAACCTTTCAAGATTTTATCGACACTCAATCGATATTGTAACGAAAGAAAAATTTCAACTAAATAAATTGCAACCAAGATCGATGGGTCTTTTACGGAACGATTAACTTCGATCAATTTAAATAAAGTATTCATTAACGATAGCTGTTCACAATCTAATTAATAACGCAAATATATTATACCATTATCGATCATAAATTTGAGTAAAAATGTATTAATTTATATGAACCTGTGTGAGATATTTAATATCAATAAATTATTAACAAATTGAAACTTTATATATTGTACGTAAATACGTGTAAATGCAAATGAGGTAAGTGTACTCAAACTTTTTACAGGTAAAGTATATATATATGCTTACTTAATGTTTTATCTATTACTAATATACCGTAAGTTATTAGATAATCTTTTGCCGACATTTAATGAGTTTTACAAAGACCAAAAGGTATAAGATTTAATGTCATTAAATAATTGTACAGAAATGCGTATAAATATAAATGAAGTGTATCCAACCTTTTTTTAATACACAGGTAAAGTATATATATATGAATTAAATATATGTTTATCTAATAACTATCTATTACTAATATACCGTAAATTATTACATCATTTTTACGATGTAAGATTTAATATCACAAAATGATTGTACACAAGTAGAATAAATGAAGTAAGTGTACTTCAAACTTTTAGATACAGGTAAAGTATATATATATGAATTATATATATGTTTATCTAATGACTATCTATTACTAATATACCGTAAAGTATTACATCTTTTTTTACGATGTAAGATTTAATATCACAAAATAATTGTACACAAGTGGAATAAATGAAGTAAGTGTACTTCAAACTTTTCGATAAAGGTAAAGTGTATATATATATATATATGTTTACTTAATGATTTATCTATTACTAATATACCGTAAAGTATTAGATGATCATTTGCCGACGTTTCGTGAGATTTTCTTCCAAAGAGCAAACGGTGTAAGATTTAATGTCATCGGAAAGATTGATCGTTATTAGAAGTAGTAGGGATAAGAAGAACCTGTTTTCGATAATGTCGGAAGATACGTTTCTAGTTCGCTTATAGAGAGAAAGAGAAAGAAAAAGAAAGAAAGGGGGAAAAAGAAAAAAAGAAATATAAAAATATAAATAAGAGAGAAAAAAAAAAAAAAGAGATGAGTAAAAGGGAGTCCGTAGCATTGGAACTCGCGTAACGCGTTACTGGTGTAAGCTTTTATAGGCTATTACTTTGGAGACTTTATTGCCACCCGCCAGTCAAAGCTCCCAGGGCTATCTCTTTCACCTTCGTCATAGCCCTTTATACTATACTACCGATGGCCTGAATCATTGCAAACGTGATGCAGCAGAAAAGGGGGAAAAAAGAAACATTTAAAGATAGATAGATAGATATATATATATAGAGAGAGAGAGATAAAGTATTAGCAATAAACCTTCGTATCAATAACTTATTGGAGTCACTTAATCGTAAGTCAAAATAAAAGATACGTGTAATTGTGTTACTATTACTAAACTATAACTCATAATTCTATTTTTTATTTTTACATTGAACAAAAGAAGTATATATTGATTATAATTAGATTTTTGATTTTTTATTTAAAGTGGGGAAGAGATTTGATGTTAAATATTTATGAAAAGTAAATAATAATTATAACTAAAACTAACGTCACCTGTAATTGTGTTACTATTAGCAAACTTTAACTCATAATTCTATCTTTTATTTTTACATTGGACAAAAGTAGTATATATTGATTATTATTAGATTTTTGATTTTTTATTTAAAGTGGGGCAGAGATGTGATGTTAAATATTTATGAAAAGTGAATAATAATTATAATTAAAATTAACGTCACCCCTAATCGTAAGTCAAAATAAAAGGTATCTATAATTGTATTACTATTAGCAAACTATAATTCATAATTCTCTCTCAAAAGTATACATTGATTAGAATTAAATTTTTGATTTAACATGGGGAGAAAAGAAAAAATAATAAATGGAAAAAAAAAATGTGTGATATTAAATATTTATAAAAATAAAATAATAATCACAATTTTAAATACAAATACTTCGTAATAATAATAATTAATAAAACACGTGTTACAATTATCGAATTTCAATTACATGAAAATTATCTATAAACAAGATGATTAATAAAATGAAATAAAAAAAAAAAAGAAAAGGATTAAGAATCAATGGATAAATAATAGATGAAGATAAGAAATAAGAAAATAAGGTTAAGGAATAAGATTGTAAAACAAGATCCAAGATTCCCCATAAAACTACACTTTACTTTACTTTACTTATTTTTTTAACGTATTTAACCATTTTATTTGTGAGAATCGAAAGAAAGAATTTTTTTTTCTCCTTGGCAGGACACTTTCGTCCTCGAAAATACTTCGCGTGGATCGTTTTGGGTTTGGGTTCGGGACTCGATTAGCATTTTCGAAGTTCCAGCTTGAAAACCATTGCAACAACAACAACAACAACAACAACTGCCGCGAGCGAGCAAACGAGAGACCATAAATCCTCGAGCGTGACGATGATTCAAGTGGACTCAGGGATTCAGGGACACACGCATAATTAATTAGACGGGGACCTAAAGTGCACAAAGAAGATTCCGAACGGCCGAATGATTCATGCTTCTTCTCCTGTGCTTCTGGCTTGAGTTTAACCAACCTACTATGTTCGTTCTTTCGTTCCTTTCGTTTGTTTATTTGTTTGTTTATTTGTTTGCTGCGTGAGAGTGTCTATATAAAACACACGTGTACGTATGCATGTATGCGCATACAAAAAGAAAGAAAGAAAGAGAGAGAGAAAGAGAGAATAACCAGCGACTGGTTCGATGATTTTATCACGATATAAATTTCAAATAGTTTCAACCTAAATAATACACACAAAATATTTTGCGTTGTATATAATATTTGATTTTTAAATTAATATTACATTTTACGAAAAAACAATTTGTTATACATTTGGTAAATACAATTTGTAATACGATAAATATCATTATGAATTTTTAATTCACCTTAATTTACACACTGATAATATCGCTTAAGGTATTTTCATTTGTTTTCTTTTTCAAGTTATACTTCTTTCGGCGCGCGTTTTGCAAAAGTGAAGTTAGATGCGACCGAAAAAAATCGACACCACGAAGTTGACGATATTTACGATGCGCGGGAAAATTGAAATTATTTTTGAGGTTATGGAGATTGGATTCGTTTTAGTACGTGCGTACATAAGTACACACATCAGTTTTTTGTTTTTTTTTCTTTTTTTCTGTCCCCCCTCATCTCATCCTATTCACCAATCGTTAGAAGAATAAAATAAATCGATAAGGGAGAATAAGAAATATCGGATCGAGTTGAAATTTTAATGCGTTTAATCTTTTCATTATTTCATCTTTTTCTATCTTTCTTTCTTTCTTTCATTATATTTTTGGAATCTGATTAAATTTGTTTACCTCGTCCGGATGATTATCACCGCAGCGTGCATCGCATCTTGCAACTCTGATCGAGTCGTATTCCTCGACATACTTTGTCCAGGATGCGAAACATCCTGGTAACAACAACCACCATGGCCACCACTCTGCAAACAAACAAGAAAAAAAAAGTAAAAATATAATCATGATTCAATGTTGTTTGTCAACAATTTCGTTCAAGCACGATGATTAAAATTAAAACTTCAGTTTAGTCGTAAAAAACATGCACAGACAGAATTTGAATAATCCCCTGTTGTTTATAATTTATTTACAAATTCTTAACATAATAATATTACCTTGTGTTTAATTGAAATTAATAACAATTCAGTATACTCTCTTTCACTTTATTAATTAAAAAACAATTATAATATTTGTTGAATATTAGATAACAAAATAATATAAAATATAAGTAGAAGTATTGAGAAAATAAATCAATAACGCGTATTAAATATTAAACATTTAATTTTTTTCAAATATTAATAAATCATATGTATACACACATACACCAATTAGAAAATAAATAAATAAATAAATAAATTAATTAATTAATAAAGAAAAAAGAAATGGAACGGATCATTCGGGAAGAAAAATTTCTAAATAAATCACCAATGTTCATATCGACGTGTACAATGCACAAATACATATAGATACACACACACACATATGTATATACTCAAACACACAAAGTAACATAAACGGATTGTACGGTTACGCGTGGCGATATGGCCGAGCTACCATTTCACGCCTCATTAAAGGGATCTAATGGGTTTCGCACGCGCGAGAACAACCAACCGAACCGTTCATTGTACCAACAACTGAGAAAATAACGATCCGTTTAAAAGCTAAAACGTTACAACGAGTTATACATATAATACATATATACATAAAACACATATACCTATATGTATATAAAATATGACCAATGTTTGTGGAATTTGTGATAATTCGTAAAAATTCAAAATATCAGGCCCATTTAAATTTCTTCTTACACAACAAATTCTTCAAAAGTCAAACCCATTCGATGAATTTCTAACGATGGAAAAGATCCTTATTTTTTTTCCTTCCCTCTCCCCTCCCACACCTATCTATATTATATAATTATATGAATATTTATTTTGAAAGCAACCTAAGTTCATTTGTTGTCAGTTGTTTGTCGTGTTAATTATAATAACGTCATGTTGATAACCATGGTGGTTAGTTGTCGTAAAAAATATTTTGTTGAGAGGTGTGGGGAGAGAAAAAAAAATGGACTTAGGTCATTTTTATATATATTAGGATGAAACAAAAATTCGTGCGTTTTATTCTGTTGCCTTTTCGGAAGTCAATACAAAAAATTAATCTTTATATATGCATGCGAAATATTAATAATTAAAAAAAAAAAAAAAAAAACCGTACGAATATTTTGTTCGTGAACCAGTTATGTTCATACGTTTATCGTGTTGTTTTTTTAAGTGAATAAACAATTACTTTATATGCAAATAAAATATTAATAATTAAAAAACTGCACGAATTTTTTTGTATCGAACCCAGTTCTGTTCGAGGCGTTTATTCTGTTGTTTATCGGATAGTGCAATTTTTGTTTGAAGTCAATACACAAAATTATTTTATATGCACAAATAAAATATTAATAATTAAAAAACTGCACAAATTTTGTTGTCAAACCAGTTTTGTTCGTACGTTTATCGTGTTGTTTTTTTTAGATGATGCAATTTTGTTTTTGTTTGAAGTCAATACAAAAAATTATTCTTTATATGCATGTGAAATATCAATAATTAAAAAACTGCACGAATTTTTTTGTCAAACCAATTCTGTTCGTCCGTTTATCGTGTTGTTTTTTTTTAGATGGTGCAATTTTGTTTTTGTTTGAAGTCAATACAAAAAATTACCTTATATGCAAATGAAATATTAATAATTAAAAAACTGCACGAATTTTTATCGAACCCAGTTCTGTTCGTGCGTTTATTCTGTTGTTTATCGGATACTGCAATTTTTGTTTGATGTCAATACAAAAAATTACTCTTTATATGCACAAATGAAATATTAATAATTAAAAAACTGTACGAATTTTTATGTCAAACCCAGTTCTGTTCGTGCGTATATTCTGTCGTTTTTCGGATACTGCAATTTTTGTTTGATGTCAATACAAAAAATTACT